GGTTGATGATGTAATCATCATTACTGCCTGAAGGGGTGTATCCCACTGGATAACCCGTCCACTGGATTTTGACCCCGTTTTGGTTGGTAAATCTCATAGCAGGCAAGTTGTCGAGAATCATGTTCACTTGATAGAGGTCTCGAGTTCTCTGTTTTAGAAGCTTGACCTCATTTTCATTCAGTGGATGGGTGGTGCAGAGGTACAAAGACTCGTTGACGTTCATACGGAAACGGTAAGGAGAGTTGTCGATTTGATCTCCCATTAGAAGTTCTCCGAGATTTTCGGCACTTTTCTTGATGCCCCCAAGAGGCTTGCAGTAGGGAAGACTATAGTAGCTGAATGGGAGCTCGGTCTCTATAGAGGTCAAGGAATTCACCTTGGCGTAAATTTCATCCATTGTCGAATATGTATGCATGTAGCTCCCCGGTAGATAAAAACAATTACCGGCTTGTAGTGTGAGAACCACGTATAAGAAAAAAGTGCATAATTTCCTTCTTGAGATCAAAGGCAGAGCCATCGTTCAATAGAAGAAAATAAAGGAAATATCCCCAAACCAGCTAAACAAAGATACACGATTACGACCTGCAATTTGAAAAATGATATAACTAGCGTAATACTTTCAAATTGACGTCCAAGACTAAAATGTCACATACTAAGTAATCAGTATAAAAGACTTTTCAGGTGAAGATTCATAAACATTTTTCTTTAGCTGTCGAAGTAGAATCATATTGTTTCTGAAAATGGATCAGATCGCACCTCATGCCACACAGTTATTTCGATGAAATCAATAGATACTAATAAGTATAATTTTGCTTCCTATTATCAACTTCTGATCATAGTTAATTTTTGTTAAGGTAGACAAAAAGAGAAATGTACCCAATTTTAAAATAATTGAAACTCCATACACGGGAGGAAGTCTCTCAATGATATTGAAATCTTTCATTCCATAACTTTTCTAAACGATGTCATTCTTGCAACAATATGCACACAAAACAAGTTTAAAATGGTTATTTGATGTCATTTATGTTCTGCATGCACACCTAATTCTGAATTTTATTGAAGGGAAAAAAATATTTATTTTCTGTCCTCGAGGATGTTCAGTCTTCAAACTCGTAAATCACAAAACTTTCATGCCACTGAGAATGCCCCCTACTCCTTCAGAGTATACATTTGAAAAGGAATAACATGGTATACATTTCGGAGTATACATTTGAAAAGGAAGATAATAACTAATATGTCTTACCAAAAAGCAGTAAAAAGAAGATTTTATAAACGTATTAAATAATTGAGTTCGTCAATTTATTGATATACAAAGGGAATCTACAGCATTAACCTAAAGAACAGTAAAAAATTAACGCCATCCAATAGCTAAACTAAACCCTCACAAACCAGCAATCCGACATTTTCTCATAGTTATTAATTACACACAGGTCACTAGAAGAAAAAATAATGATAAACCATGAACTACAGCTCCACTGCCATCCAATAGTTAACTATAAAATCTGTCATTGACGAGTTAAATTTACATTTAGTAACTACATAACATTGCAACATGATTTTACATAGAAGTAAAAAGTAAATATATTAGTGTAGTAGATGTACAGTTTTAAATGACTTCAACAATAGATGTTAGTTCAGCAAATTTATCACTACAATTGGACAAACAAAGTTAAGTGAGGTGTATTCAACTGAAACTCTTTAAAAAAAATAAGACATTATAAAGTGAGAGACTTTGGTAGACTTTGTCAAATTTTAATGATTTTGGTGGACATTTTGAGATTTTCGTATAATTTTTATCATGTACTTTTTGAAACTTAGTGAGACTTTTGTATACTTATAGTATAACTTTTATGTTTACATGAAATGTTGATGAACCTTGCATCATAACTAATATCAATAAAATCAAGCTAGTTTTTCTTTGAAAAAAATATTAAACTAATGAGTTGTGATAGTAAACACCAACTATACAACATACAACATAAAAAAAGAAAAATTAATTTTTTGCAGCATTACAATTGTTTAAGTAAAAGATGAACAAATAATCCTCTAAAATTGCGAATCAAACTTCAAACTGACCTATTCTCTAACAAAACTCGGTTTTGCTCGTGAAAGCTCAAGCTCAATTCATTTGTTTTCTTAAATGAATCGAGCTTGTAAAAAATAAACGAATCGAACTGAGTCTGTTCACGAAATACTCATTTTTTAATTATGTATTTTTCATAAAATACACAATCATGTCGAATTTATTTGTAATTTTTTTTTCACAAACAACTCGTTTAGGGTCTTAGGTTTATTAAAGAGCCAAGTTGATCCAAGCTTTCGTGAGCTTCAACAAGTCGAACTTGAGCTTAACATTATATTTGTTTATTAAATGAGAACAAGCTCAAACATGAGTTACTCGTCTCGCATGGAATGACACTCTTAATCAAGACAGTCGTGTATACTTATGTGATCACTGTTGAATTTTATTTTGATTTTATTTTTTAAATTTTGTGCATAAATAATTATGATATATTTTTACAAGGCACAAAAACATTGTCAAAGGACAGTGACGAAAGTGAAATTTGAGCATGTGCAAACTATACAAATATTTGACATTTGAAGTCAAATTTGCAAGCATGAAAACGAGAAAATAAAAGTAAAATTACATAAAACAACCATATTAAAAAGTAAATAAAAGAAAAAATCACGTTAAACATTTGTGATGAAAAAAAGAAATTATATAAGCTATAAAGATAAATGAGTACAATACTTTAGCATAAAAGTGATATGAGATATATAGTTGTGTATAGAGAAAAGAGAACTTGAAGAGAGTAACGTAACAAATTTGATGAGATTTCTACTAAGACATGAAGAGAGTAAAGTAAAGAAAGTCAAGTAAGTCCAGCAAAATCTCAAAAATTTTATTTAAAAGTGGCCAAAAGTCTTCGAATTCGTCTTCGTGACAAAGATTCTTAAAATGTTTTAGTTGAGCACCTCGAGACTTTTAAAGATTTATAAAAAGCCATTAAAAGTCTCAATTGAATACATGCAAACATTTAGAAGTCTCAACAAGTTTCAATTGAATACAAGTTTTAAAAGTCTTAAAATGTCCATAAAATTTCAATTGAATACACCCTCTTAAATTTAACCGCCAAGAGTTAATAACTTCCATTATAATCACTGTTTATCCAAATCCAACATAACAAGAAATCATTCAGAACAACAGACGGTCGAGATAATTAAATGCCAACAACTGTTACAGAACGATTTTGCATCCGGCAGCACTCAGTCAATCTCTAATTACCAAATCCATAAATTGAACGGCAGAATCCTCATAATCCATTTTCGTACCAATTATTAATACTAAGATCGACGAAAAAAATCAGAATTAAAAAATTCATCGAGTTCCCAATACTAACCTAACAATTAAAATACCAGTCCACACATAGATCTACAATCAAGTGCCCAAATTCAACCCAAATCAAGTGTTCCAAACCAGCAGATCATGGATATAAAACTCAATTCATCATAACAAAACGAGGAAATCATATATAAAAGAAAAAAAACTAAGAAAATAAGTATAACTTTTCGAGCGGCGAGATAAAACGTACCGATGATGGATCTGAAAGTCGTAGCGGCCGAAATTAAGGTCTAAAAGTTACAGTGAGATGGAGATTTTCCCATACGAAGGTGACAAGAGAGTGTGCATCTGAGCAAAATTGGCATTTGAGGGCGTGAAAAAAGGAGTTGTGTTGTTGCAGCAACCCTTTCAATTGTGGATTTTAATCCAGATTTAGATCTCACTCAGGCTCACGTTCTTTTTCATTTTGGGAGTTATTTCCCCACTTAATTCATCGTTTAAAAGACATAGTTACCCCTCACTCGGTGCCAAATTTTAGGTTGTGTTCCATTTAGGGGTGTGCATNAAAACCAAAAATTTTGGTTAGGTTTTTATCCGACTCGGTCGGTTTTCAGTTTTAGTCGAATTATGTTTCGGTTATTTCGGTCGGTGTCAGTTTTCAGACATCAAATGTCCAAAATAACCGAACCGATTGAATAATATATATATATATATGTATATATATATGTGTGTGTATATATGTATTGTATTTTTTATATATTATAATATGTATATATATATAAATATATATTTCAAAATGTACAGTTCGGTCGGCCAAACCGACCGAAATCGACCAAGAAGTTCGGTCGGTTAATGTTCAGTTTAAATTGTTAATTCTGTCAGTTTCGGTTATTGCCATATACGGTTCGATTATTTCGATTTTCTTAATTCGGTTCGGTCGGTACCGAACCGACAGATGCACACCCTTAGGTGCACACAATACGGTTAACCGAACCCAATATGCACCCCCTAGCCCCATTACAAAAGGCGTGCTGGTTTAAAAAATAATAATTAAAAAATAAAAAACAGAAATTAATTTTAATTTAAAGTGTAACTCAACTTTAACTCAATTTTACTATTTTTAATATTATCAATATAATTATATAATATCATTCGCTCATTCTTACATATCACATCATCCTTAATTCACTATTCATCAACTCACATAATTTTAAATACCTTCCATTTCCAATTATTAATCTCATACTTTACACCAAATCAATTTTAATTAATTTATTTTAAATATTATTTAAATACATTCATAAAATCCTAACAACTAACAATACTAACTTNAAAAAAAAGTTTTTTTCTAGTTAGTTTATAATCAAGCACGCCCTAAGAAATTAAGGATGTAAACTGGTTGGGTGGTTTGTGATTTTTGTCACACCCGAACCTAATTCGTATATATTTTGCGAAACCCTTGCCACCTGACCCGTTCTGTTTGGCAAATCCGATCCGAATTCGTATATATTTTGCCCGATTCCACACGACCCGTCCCGTCTATTAACATTCGGGTTTGGGTCGGGTTTATTCCAACTGGTAATTGGGTGTCATCGGGTAATAAATGGATAACATGGGTTCTTAAAATTAATTCTTAACATGGGTATCATCTGGTAATTGGCGAGTTCTGTCCCATTAATGACTGTTCCCAAAGTTGTGCCTTACGATTTCGGCCGACACCTCACCCGACACGACTTCCCCACGGGCTTTCTCTTCGGTGGGGCCACCTCTGCTTATCAGGTAATAACAGTGGCGAAACCAGGATCCCAGCACGGGGAGGGCCCAGATTCATCTTCTTCCGGGCCTCCGGCGGCATCGGAAGAGCGCTCAAAGGGCGCCCTTCCATTTCCAGCCCCTTCGATTGCCTCAACCTCTCACCAAAACCCCCAAATTTTTTTTTTTTTGGGAGGGCTGGCGCCACTTCGGCCCTCAATGTGGTTTCGCCACTGGGTAATAACTATGCATTATATTTTCATCAGATAAAATTATGGTTAGATTAGTGTCCAGATTATGTAATTAGTGTAAAAAACTGATTAATGCTGGTCAGTAACGGTTTTTAGCAGGAAAGTGCCATGTAGGTATAATTAAATAGATTTTTTTTAATTGTTGGCCAACAATCATATATATATAGATATATATAATGGAGTAATTTGTTTCGAGTATATCTTTCAGGTAGAAGGAGCTTATAATGTGGGAGGCAGGGGAATGACTAATTGGGATGCTTGGAGTCTTATGAAGCCTGGTTGGTCCATTCAGCCATTAATAATACATCAATATAAATATAAAATATCCATACAAAAGCACACATAAAAGTTAGACCATCTTTGTTTGTAGATATAACAACATTTTATTTATTCAAATAGTAATGTTGTTGCTAATTATAATGGCAGGTAAAGTGTTGGATGGCGGCAACGGATGCCGTGCTATTGATCACTATCATAACATCAAGGTACAATTAGAAAATCGCTAAAAGAGTCTAATTAATTAATAAATTTAATAAGATTTTCAATGTTTAAATCTTTAAATGGCCGGCCTGGATATTCTTTCACAATATTGCAGGAAGACGTGAAACTGATGAAAGACATGGGGATAGAGACATACAGGTTTTCGATTTCATGGACCAGAATTTTGCCTGGTATGAGATTTTTTTTTTTTTTTTTTTTTGACGAATATA